TTTCGGAGGACGTTCCTCCGAAACGTCGGCCAAAACGAAGAATACACGGTGCCTAAACCCAGAAGACAACTTTCTTCAAGATATACTACAGTTCGGAAATTGGTTTCTTCTCCATTTTAAGGTAGAGGCGAATGATTATGTTCTTCATGGCGCATATAAGATAAAATCAGTCCTTATGACTGGGCTCTTGTGGAGGTGAACTAAGTGATATATGTGAAAGAAACAGATATAAACTTTATTGGAGAGACTAGTGAAGCAGAAAAATTATTAATAAGTTCTAAATGTTTGTGACGATATTACATGGGTGCAAATATTGTGTTTCTGGACGTATCCATTGTCTTGTCTCTGTATAAAAACACCGCCCTGTTTGTATTTCAAAACACGACGTTTCGGAGACTGGATTCTGTCTCCGTCTTCAGGCAAAACCTACTCAATTGGGCCCAATCGAAAGAGCTAGTTCCTCTCTCCGGACCAGTCCGGAATTATTTCAGGTTTCACCTGAAGACGGAGACAGAATCCAGCCTCTGAAACGTTGTTTCGAAAAATAAACAGGACAGTTTTCAGATATAGACAAAACAATGGAAAATGTCCAAAAACCTAATATTTATAGAAAAAATTACTGTTACATATCTTTCTTACCTATGTCCAAAGAAAGTACTCTCGTTACGATGTCGTAACGTTTGCACAAACCTTCAGAACCACGATATGTGGAATTCTGGGATCTCATAAACAAGAGCCGCAGCCTTCTTTGAATTCAAAATTTCTAACAACAGCAAGGAAGTAAAGCTATGCGTTTTTCCTGTTTGATATCAGAAGATTTTTGACACTGTTTTGGCATCGTCATTGTATAAACTATTCGGTTAAAGACTTTTCATGGATTGGGTCTGTTTTCTCTTCAAAGAAAACAACAAAAATTAAATACATTAGAACACTCGAATGTGAAAAGATGTATCACAACTCTCATTTAACCTTTATTATATGAGGTTTGCTGGAAGATAATATATTCTGGTGCTGTAAAAGTTGGTACGTTGGCCTTACTTGTACAGAACATCAGTTGTCTCCTTCCTCATCAGTAAGCCGAGCGGAGATCTTCAGTGGTCTTTTCAGAGGAGAATCCCAATAACAGCAACATATTTTCAGTGACAATTTGCAACAGATATTTCTTATACGTACAAAAGTTTTGTATCGTAATTACGCATTCTTAGTACCTGCGTATTCCTGTACCGTCTTATTTTTCCCATTGCTTTACATTGAAATAAATCATTTTGATACGGGGAACAGTGACCGAGAACTATACCACTTAAGTATAACAACCCCGTTCCGTTTCCACATTTCCTCGGGTTTAATTTTGAATAATACGAATCACAACGCACATTACATGGAACTCTGTGTTGTACTGTAATAAGACGTGCCATGAATCTGCCAGATGCGTATCATTCAAGTCACGGATTTCTTGACTCTAATTACGGTACTTTTCCCGGCCAAAACTGTTTCGGACTGTAGTTGGCAAACCAGTCACTTTTAGTCACTGTATTCATTTAAAACGCCATATAATCATATTTCGAGCCATAACAACTTTAAATCTAATTCTTCCTGGATTTCCGATGTTAAGAGAACGTGTTTAGTGACAAAACACATACTACTAGATGAATGTGATTTACCGTAAAGTTTACAATCGGATTAAGTTGAGAGCACGGCGCATCGCCCCATTTCTTCACAAGCTTTAGCGATATGTATTAATTGCACCCTATATGTCCACCTAACTCTCTCTCGATAGTTATGTGTCTGCTTCGGAATATACTGCACAAGGGACTGGATTATTTAACGATGGAAGAACAATTCTCATAGTCTCTACCTGGCACCAGACCAGAAAAAAAAATACCAACGCTTACTCTCTCTTTAGTTTCAATTTTTGTTGTCTACGTTTAGCACGATTTAGAACAGTTAAATACAGTATGCTGTTCTGTTTATTTAAATGTCGAGTCAGTTAAACAGATCTGATGTATATGCTTTTGTATTTCGCTTGATTCGCAACGGTTTTATAAGTATTTGCCATAAGTTGAGAATGTTTATATAATGTTTATATTACGATTTTCCCTTTCCTTCAACTTCAAAGCAAGTGGACAAGTGAGGTATGTTAATCTTTTCCTAATGTCACGCTTATACTTTCAATAAGTGATCACTCCAAGAGATTCGTATCCTTCTGTGTAAGATATAAAATAATTTTCATTAGACATTTAAGATATTTAAAGCCTGCCCTGAGTGGAATATGATATGTACTTCCACTGAAGCAAAATTCTGTTCTAGAAGTTTCAGTGCAGCAATAATTAACGGTACCGAACCGTGTTTGGTGGCTTCACTGAAAGTTTCTGCAACCCACAACAACAAAAGCTTAATTTTTTTTAAGATTTCGCCTATGTTCTGCAGCTAAAACCTGCAATTTAACCACAGAAACATGAAGCGTCATAATTCGGAGTAATTATTTTACTTGTAGTACGGGGAAATTAATTATGTCTTTACTTGATATGTTTCCTATTAGTTCTCTATGTTCATTTCCTTACTACCTCCCAGCAAGCCTCCGTTCATGAAGGTTGTGATACTAATCTCCTCAGTTGGCTGGCTTGCAAGAGTATGCTTCCTTGTAGCAGTGTTGTAGTGTGCGATAGTGGTTGAATCCCACGTAGACTTTGTGCAAGTAGCATACCGTCTTGACGACATTGTTCCCAGATGTCTTCTACTGGTGAAACTGGCTCTGCAGCTATTGGTTCCACCTACACTACGCCCCCGACCGCCCCCTGAAGCGCTCTTGCAGCAGATGCACAGAAGGTATCTGTTGAAGTGTTTTCTGAAAGTACCGCTGACACAGTACAGTGCTATAGGATTGATGCACGAGTTGATGAAGCTCAGGCAGAATCCGATGATACGAAAAGCGTGCCAGAAACCATTAAACTGTTCCATAGCAGCATTCTGGTCGCTGTAGAACCACAGCATGAAAACATGCTGAGGGAAGAAACATACGGCAAAGACTATGACGAAGGCAAGAACCATTTTTGCAACTTTCTTCCTAGCTCTGACCTGTCTTGCTTGACCTTGAATCTCCCCAGGCATGTTTCTGGTACTAAGGATGAGATGCCTTGCCATAAGAAGATAAAAGAATGAGATTATTATCAGTGGGATGGCGTAGTATATGATGAATTTGGCGATCACTATGGACTCAGCGTACAATTCACCCCATGAAACTCTGAATGGATAACAGACATTGAAACTTTTCGTGTCGCTGATTTTGAATACTCTTATGTAAGATGCTATTGCAGCTGGCATTGCACACAGGATGGCCAGTATCCAGATGAAAATAGCTGTCAATATGGTCAGTCTTGTAGCTCTGCGGCCCCCACCTCCTGTGTGTAGTTTCCTCATAGGGTCTACAATAGCGAAGAAGCGATCTGCGCTTAGGGCAGTTAGCGTGAACACAGAGACACCTATCGATATGTCCTTGACACACTCCGACAGTTTGCAGATCAGTTCACCGTAAGGCCAGGAGTCGACTGTGTATACCGTGGATGTGAATGGAACGCAAGTGATTATGACCAGGAGGTCTCCCAGAGCCAAGCTGAAGATGTATGTGTTTGGGACGTTTCTCATGTTGCGGTGACGTATGAAGATCAGCACCAGGGTACCGTTGCCAAGGACACCGACTACGAAGATAAGCGCGAACAGGACTGGTACGATGTAGGTCTCGGGTCGTTCTGAATAGTCGACGTACGGGATCTGGGTCGAGTTTGTGCCATTGGCCGTGCCCAGCAGTGTCGGCATAACCGTGACGTTGGTTTCGGCCAGAAAGTTTTCCATGTCCGAAATGATATTCGTATCGATTATCGTTTCCATATTGACTCAATGTAAATGGAATATTTGACTATGATATTCTGATCAGATGTGCTTGTTGGCCGTATCGTAAGTTCTTTTCTATAACACTTGGCTTCATGTTGGCGCTTACAGATTGTTGCACTTACTAACTTGGTGATGTTGAGTTGAAACAAATTACATGTATTCCCTTACCGAAGTAAGAATATATTAACACGATTTCTGTCATTGTTTCACTACCTTATAGGTCTAAGAATTATTTTTAAATGATCCGTTTTTAGATATTCCACGTGAAATATAGTGTTCGAGCAGGAGTAATGTTCTATTTCAAACATGCATATTTATGTTTGTGTTAGCGAAATGGATATGACATTATTACATTGTGTCAGTGAAAACATTTCCTTCCTCACTCGGTTTTATAACAGATCCCAATGTTTTCGTAAAACTAAAATCCATTTCATCACAGTCTCTCAGTAACACTTGATTATTATTTACTACTCTGACGTCACACACCAGACAATAAATCCAGGTTATTTCTTATTTTTATAGTATTCAAAGAAACAGTTACGACAAATAACGTATAATATTAAAAACAAAATAATATTCTTTCCTTCTTAGAGGAACGTAATTTTAAAAAGCCAGGAAATAATTTAAATTAATCTCCGAAACGTGTTTACATGAACATTCCACCTAAGCTTAGCAGCAACCTTGATGATGTTTAAAACGGTATGCATAGTTCACAAACAAGTTCTTTTAATTTTCAGTAAATTAAAAGGAGAGATTCATGCCCGTGTTACAATCGGTATACGCTCAGTTCTGCTGACTATTTCAGTGTATTAGTGTTGAACTACTTGGCTTGAGACTTGTTTAGAAAGCGTTCCAATATGAAGGAGGAAACCGTCACTTCCGATGAGTTAACTCATGGATGGTGTCCCTGAAAGCTACAGGAAGCTTATACACACGTCACTGAACTTTCACCTTCAAACATACACGTCACTCACGCGTGTTAAAATGAGGTTTGTTTCCTGCTGAGTAATTAGATTTAAGACAGCGCTCTGGCTAAGTTTTTAAATCTATTATATGTCCTTCTTAGACTTATAATTCAATTTTTTTTTTCAAAACGTCTTCTTGTTTTTTATTATGTTTAATTTTCATGACCAATTGCAGGTCGAGTTGCGGTGGAAACGGCAACGTTTCACGTTGACATACTGCCCTTGCGCGAATGTGCCTTGGGTTATTGCATTACGTCAACAGCTTTTTGTGTAATCACATACAATTGTCTGACTTTCTGTACAAAGTTTCTTTTAGTCTTCTTGTTCCTCACAATGTTGTAAGTTTGTTGTCGTTTTCTTGTACTGGTTGTCCACATCTCGTTCCTTTTTCTCAGCTACTCCAAATCTTGTCACGTGTTTTGTCTGAAATGAAAGAAGATAGTAAATGAGAAAACGGGGCTGCGTAGAATTGTATGAATGGACATATTTGGTATAAAAGTTTGTCAGTAATGGATTGATGTTGCAGCTTGTTTATGGTGTTTCGATTAAATTTTCCAATGACATCAACAAAGAAGTCAATCAATGTAGTTTCTTCAGAGTGGATCTAAATTGAAAAAAAAAAGTTTCATATAAAATGAAATATCCTCTTATATCTACAAATGGTGATGAAAATGATGGTGATAATTGTAATAATAATACAATAAAATTCTTTATTTCCGTGTTGGGGTCGATAGCCAATAGCCAATTACAGAGTAGCACGAATAGAAACAACATAAATAAGAAAACATAAGGAAAAAACAGCAACAAAAGAAACAATAAAAACAACGAAAATGGACCGGATAATGCTTTTTACAATCAAACATGATTTACCAAAAATATCTGTGCATTTCCAACAGAAACACAATCTAGCTGAAGGGCGGCGACTGGAGGAGCCACTGAACATGTACAGTTACGTATGTTCCGCGCCATAGCTCAAGCGGTTAGTCGCTGGCTTCCCACCGCAGCGGCCCGGGTTCGATCCCGGGTCTGGTCAAGTAGGATTTGTGGTGGACAAAGTGGCGCTGGGGCAGATTTTTTCCGAGTACTTCAGTTTCCCCTGCCAATCTTCATTCCACCAACTGCTCCACAATCACCCTCACCTATCATCTGGGGCTGGTACAATAGGCCAGAAGTGGCCGCAGTACAAGGGATTTAGTCCCACCCCACTAGCAATAAAAAAAATACGGATGTTCTGAGTAGGAACACGAATGTCGGCTATTTCGAGGACAGAAGAGCAACATTTAGTGCCAGTAAAAACAAGCCATCCAAGTGACGATGTCTGATACGCAGTGTCAGCAAATTTATTTTTTCTAATAACTTATCATAGTGATATTCGACATCTTGAGAAGTCTATTGCAGCAAAAGGCTGCAAATTATCCTTGCATGCCTTCAAATTTGTTGGTGTCGCTAATCATTACAGATTTGCAAGTGACAGAAACATACTCCAGTTTAGATATAAAGCAAAATTCACCATCAGTAGATAATGATGATGATAATGACGAACTGACTCCGTAGATGAGTGATCTTGAGAAGCTAATGGTTACTCAGTTAGTACAGAAATTTCCCTCTTTACTATATGAGGTTTTAACAGCGATGGTTATTAAAGGTACCAAATTCTGTGGTACAACGCATGTACTCCGTTGAAAGTCAAACTAAATTGCGGGGTCGAATAAGTTGAGCAAGATACCAGCATGAAAGCAGGTGGCAAGCCGAGTTTCACACTGCTTTAACACTGGTATACGTGTATTTCTCAGATATTTATACCCTGAAGATGGAGGCGATTTATTCCTCCGGAACATTATGTGCCAGAAGATAGTACTCTTCAAATTTCCTTCCGTCTGAGGAAGGCGGGAGTTTGTTATGGAGCTCGCAAGAGCCAGCCACTGGACCCCCTGAAGATGAATGCAGGTTACATCCTCGCTCCACGTGTCCTTGAGATACATTTTAGGTTGAACCTTCCATCTACACGAGTCTTGTAAGAAGCCAACACTTTGTGCTGTCCCATCTTCACATGGCATAGGCAAAATCCGGTCATCATGGCTCCTTTAGCTTTTCCGAAAAGTCACCGAATCGTTTTCCACTCTCTGGATAACAACTTGCCTTTATAAAACTTCAAGAGTTCTGCCGGATTGTAGAGGAACCTTAGTACTAGAGTGTACCATGACTGTCAGCACCAGGTTTCAGGAAACCGCTCTGAATTTACTAGGAACTGCAGTTTGAATATAACGTAGGAGAAAACAGATTATGAAATCTCTAACTTTAAAGTGCGACTAAACTATGTAATTGTGTTTAGATGCTGAAATACAGTACCGAGAAATACGAAAATGCATTATATAGCGGATGATATCTCGACTATCTATGCGACTGTTAGCTCCTCAAAGAATGATTCTGCTCCATAAACTTAGTAAATCAGTTTGTAGTTTATTTATCATACGTCAAATTATACAGTCTTCAATGACTGGATGACAGAAAGTGAAGAATTAAAGTTACGTGGAAGAAAATAGTCATGGTTGAATTTTAAGATGATCATCTCGATGTCTGGATGGACTGGGGAAGAACGCAAAGAGTAAGAATATTTAGTGTCCTAACAGAGATTTGAACCGATCATCTTTCGAATACATGTCAGAAGCTTTACCACTTGAGTCAACTTAGAGATAATTAGAATGAGTTAGTTGTTAGAGAAAGAAATATATTGAAATCTATATACCCATTGCTAGGCAACGGCTTGTTAAATGCATTTCCGCAACGCATCTACACGCAAAACTAAGTCTTATATTTCTAGCCAACGGCGCGGTAAACATATCTTCGCAACAAGAGAGGAAACGGTGTTTTGTATGTGGTCCGTGACACGCACTGTGTCACGTGACAGGTGTTCTCTGTAGGTCCGTACCGCTTCTATATAAGGCAGCCATTTTTAAAGAACAACAGCGTCAAGAGAATTGGCTCTAGTTCTAGATGGTCGGAATTTCTAGGTGATTGAACAAGAAATGGCAAGAAGACTTCATAATGATTTCAAGTGCTAGTTACTTTGATAAATCCGTTATCAGGAAACGGATGGCGTGTCCTAGTGATTTATGAAGTGTGTAGATTGGCGGCAGCACTATAATTTATTATGAACAAGAGAGATTGTATGAGAAAGTGTCAATAAATCCAGTCATCCAATCCAGAACCCATTATTATTAGTCACGGAACGCCGGACACGTGACAATATAAAATGTGTACTGCCCATTCTATATGACGCAATCATTTGACTAAATTTTTTGACGAAATAAAAAATGTATAAAATACCATACAAGGGAATCAGCCATTGACACACAAGTTCTGAAATCCGCACTTCGATGTAATCGCATGTAGGAAGAAGCTCTAAAGTCAACGACAGGGACGGAAGGGGGGAGGTAATCTTCGATAGCAGTATGGAGTTGCTTGCGTTGATCCACAAGTTCAACTGACCCAGAGGCATAAACTTCCTCCTACGTTCAGCCGAGAAAGGCGTCTCGTGGGGAGGAAGAGTTGTGGTTTAGACGAGACATCGTAGGGGATTCTCTGTAAATTGTGTAGGATGTAGCGTTCTGGTGTTGCTAGCGCCAAGTAGTGGGTGTGATAGATAACACAGTTACATTTCAATGTTAACACTAAATTACTGAAAATGGAAATAAGAGGCTTAACCATAAAAACTCTGTGATTTTAGTCCGCAAGCTAACTGTACCGACGGAGCGACCGCCGCTTGTCGGCGAAGTTTAGTGCCAACTTCTGCGGATAGAGGGTGTCGCGTGGTCAGCGCAACGAATCCCCACGGCCGATAATTTCGGTTTTCTAGACCGGAACCGCTATTTCCTAGAAATAGTTGTTCAATTATCATCACGAGGCTGAGTGTACCCCATTCCAGACCCACTACTTGTCAGAAAAAATCCGGTAGCTCCGGGAATCGAACCCGGACCGTTGTATCTGTAGCCAGGAACACTGACCGCTAGACCACAGAGACCGTCCTCTTGTATTATCACTTCTAGGAATTTATCTGAACACAATATCATCATCATTATCATCGTCATGAAGGATTATGTTCTTGGCCTGTTAGGACTACCGATATTGAAGTCTATCTCCTTTAGATATCCCTGACATACTGTATCCTTCGGTGTACAAAGATAGACAAGATTCTGGATTAGATTTTAATGTATTTCTTCCCAGCGTTCCAAGTGTATCCTTGACAGCCAGAAGTTTAATTCCGTCGTTCACATTTACACGCGCATTTCATCCGTTTTTACTGTCCTTTGTCTGGTCTCTTCATGATTCACATAGCAATAAATAATTGTACACGTACTGGCTCAGTCGGTAGAGCAACTAGACTATAGCTCGATTCGCGACAGGGGCAAGAAATTTTTCTCTTCTCCATGTTATCCAAACCGGCTCTGGGCCCTCACAGCCACCTACATAACGGGTACCGGGGGAAACGCGACAGTAGCGTGAAGCTAACTACTCACCCCCATCGGTTTCTGAGGTTAAAAATTGTCGAGCTATACCTCCGCTCCACCATACGTCAGGTGAGCGTGTGATCATATTGTCATATGGAATGTGGGGTGAATATAGACGGGGTTTGCGAATAGATATTGGACTTATTGAAAACTTGTCCACACAATTCAGAAATACAAGTAATTACAGCGTTATCACTAATCTTCACAATTTACAGATCACCACAGCGCCCACTAAGCCTTTTTAAGCATGCTGTGTCTTCACAGCCGTTCCCTGGTAACGGTTTAAAACAGTGGAGATTCTTCAGATTCCTCGCTCAAGTCCACTTCGAATGGCGGCTCCCTCCCAACTGTTTTCCAAACTATCCCTTTTTCTTCACAGACTCCCGTACAGAACTGATTTGGTTGCCCCACTTGTCTTCCTTATAATTGCTCAGTGCGGACCGCATAGACAACACCATGCATTCTCGTATGCTAACAGTTTCCCCGGAAATTTGTTCGCGTCACCCAGCTCCGGGTTACGTAAACCTATGTATTAAGAATCCGTTGTCCCAGCATCGGGCGTCGTTTCGTGACCGTTACCTAGCAACAGTTCCACACGTTACAGTATTATAAAGCCCCATTTTTTTTTATCGTCAGACCTTCATTTCTGCTGAATAGTTCCTTGGTATGTTCTCAGTTAGTATATATACAATATAATTGAGTTCACTCTCTCGGTATTCGGTCTCTAGTAGAGTCAACTTGGGGTGATCTACACTTCAGAGAGCTGTTTTCTGATAAAGTGATTGAATGGCTGATGTTGCTGACCTTTCTAGGACTCTGAACTTAATTACAACATATCCTCATAATAGATCTAGTACAAAATATATTTGTTCCCCTTCCTAATTAATCAAGCACCAAGCCGTGAAGTACGGGGTA